GACTCCCTCCATTCCTATAGTTCTCCAGAAAGCCAAATCAGAATCCGCAGCCGAGGGGCCAGGTATAGACTAGCGCAAAGCTTGGAGGGAGGGAGTCGCCTGATCCCCTCACCTCTGGGAGTTAATAACCTAGGAGGCAGCTCTAACTCACCTTAGAGAATACAGAAAAGTTTCACACTAGATCCTGGCTCATTGTTATTCCCAGGACCAGAAACTAATGATGGTAGATCGTTGCTTAGGATGTCGGATTTAAAAAAACAACAACAAAAAAAACACCTCACAAATCTGGTTTGGAGCAGGGAAAACAGAAACCCCGTGGCAAAAGGGAATTCCTCTCTTGTTTGCTCTTTGGAAGGGCAAGAGTGTGCGTCGTTTTACACTAGTAAAGGCGAATTGCGTAACTTAGAAAAGAAAGTTTTTTAAAAAAAAACCACTCAGGTAAGATGAAATAAGGTAACTGGATTTGAGATTACTTGGGGAAGGGGCACCGGGAGATGTCACTTGTTCACCAGCAGGTGGCGCGTTTTCTTTAGGATTGCGTCCTCGAATCTCTCGATCTAACTTCGCAGCCAGACTTGCTCCAGAATGCTCTAGCCGGAAATCGCCGTGCAGATAATAACCCTCCAGTGTCTGGAAATGTTTAATTACCGCAAACGTTCATTTTTCCAGCGCCGACCGCTGCCGAGGTAGCCCTTCAAGAACAGGGCACCGCCGATGTGGTAAGGTTCTATCCGCAGGATTTCACCCTAACAGTGCACAATTCAGTTAAAATGACTTTTCTTCATCATTCTCAGTTTGATTAAACACTGCGTCGTTTCTAATACATTTATTTTGACCTTTGGATAGAGGAAAATTTCAGCAGTCTTAGAACACAGATCTGTTATGTGTCGAAAATAATTCTGACAAGTCATATTTGTACGAAAAGTAAAAACGCCTTCTACACACATTTTACATTTGATCCTCACAACATAAGACATTATCATTTCATTTTACAGATGATCGTCTGCCCACATGCATATTCGTGCTTCGTACATATTCTTCTTATAAACCAAGGGTATAGGCATGCCTGTACGTGTGTATGGTTAAGTTTACTAAGGTGACAAATAGTTACAAGACACTTATGTGCTCATAAAGAACTTACGAAACGGGAACTGCCTGGGAAAACAGTTCACTTTCCCTTTCAGTTTTGATACTGTAACTTGTCTCTCGCTGTCACAATAAACACCCGCTCTTGCGTTCACCTGGGATTTATTCTCCTAAAACCCTGGAGTTGCTTGTACGTTATCAGAGCGTGTTATCTGCACAAGTGTGCGTGTGGATGTCGTGTTACCTACCTCCCGTGCTTAAAAACTTTTCCCCAAAGCTGGATTTTGACCTGATTGATCGTAATGGTTCCAGAGGAACTATTGAGCCATTACAATCCATCATCTAAATGATTACAGAGGGATACCTAAATCTCCCGGTTATTTGAAACCTCTGTACATGCGTAAAGGGGGGTCTAATGAGCAGACCCCCAATTGTCAGCAATGCAGTTACAGGAAAACTTGCGTTGGAAGCTAAAACTTGCAAATGCTAAATAAACTCCGTTTTTTAAAAAATGAAGTCATTTTTGTGTGGCTAGAGAGTGGGGAGAGGTGAGTTCATTTTCAGTCCACAAGACCTCAAAGAAATATAGGCCACGTTCTAGTTAATTTTCTGGAAGCTGCTCAATTTGCACTCCGAAGCCAGGCTGGGACATTTTTTCCTCCCAGCCAGCAGTAGTCGGTAGAGGGGCTGGGATTGGGGCGGGGAGGCCAGCAGAAGCTGTTACCACCCCAAGCGTACCCAGGAAAAGGCGGTGGCGAGGGCTCGCTTTGGGACTGGGTGCAGTGTGGTCAGTGACCGCGAGGCTCGCGCCCGCGGGGGCGACTGCCCCTTGCCGGACATCACCCGCACTGAGGGGGCGTAACGCAGACCTGGAGGCCTGGTCGCTACTGGGAGGACCCTTGCCCAAGGCTGTTGGGTCCTAGCCGAGGCTGGGACCCCTCCGGCGCTGGCGGTTGCGCCCCGCAGGCGGTGGGCAGGAGAGCCAAAAAGGAGCTTGGCAGAGTTTGCGCCGGATCTAGTCGCGGGCTGCAGCCCGCAGGCACCGCTTGAGCAGAGGCTGGAGCCGCGTGTGGCGGAGTGCACCCGGCGTCCAGACAGAAGTTTCGCCACCTACGCTGGGCTCTGTGGCCTTAGGACGGTTGGGTCCAGGCTACCGACGACGTTTATCAAATTCAAAACCTGACGTCCTTCCGAATCCTAAGCAAGTAGGACTTCACTAAAAATTATCCCGGTAGACCTTAGGTGTTCGGGGTCCTGCCCTCTTCAATTCATCCAAGCTGCAGTCCAGGCGCTGTGCTGCAACCTAGAGACCCTGCTTAACTTCTGACTAATTTCTCTTAAATAGGCG